GTTTCAGCAACATAAAATTTAAAAACTGTACTTTTGAGTTAAAATATATATTTATAATTTTAATAAATGACAAATTAAAAAGGCATGAACATTTTTTTTGTATCGAAAAAATATCGAACCGTGATACCAAAGTATCGAACCGCACCGTGAATTTTGTGTATCGTTGCACCCCTAATATATATATATATATATATATATACATATACATAGTGAATGTGGGATGAAAAAGAAAGATGGAAAGATAGTGCTGGAAACCTTTAGCACCCTCACACTCAAAGCGGAAAGAAAACAGAATCAGTGGTACTGTGTGAAAAATGCAGATATGCATGTCCTATTCTGTGTTTTTATTAGTAAGGGTAGCATTGTTTTGTGAATGAGTTCTACGGCCCACTGGTTATGCAGTCGGTGATGTTTGTGAGTGAGAGTTTGTAACTCTTGTTCACATAGTTGTGAGTTCCTCATGTCATACCATACAAGTGAGTGTCAGTCCACTGGCACTCAGCTGAGGTAAAGTCATGAGGATCACACTTAAAATAAGTGGGTAGGGGTTTGATCTGGGGATGAGGACCAGTAAAATCTTAATCATATTCAAGACATAAGTAGCCTAAATATTAAAAGATATTATTAATTGAAATATTTGAAAGAAAAAGCTCTGAAATAATCTAGAGTGAGCATCAACAGGAACTCGGCACACCCCACAATATTTGATTACCACCAACAGACCAGCTACTTCACAAATCCTCCTGAGTAAAGAAACTCTGCACTGCCAACCCATTAATCCAGATTAGATATGAAAATATTTCACAAATCTGTTTATCTTACATTCAACAAACACAACTGCTCAATGCAGCCTTTCCCTGCAGTCTGCCAAACAAAGACAATGCTTTCTTACATGTGAGACGTGCCACCTGACTGATGGCCCCAAGAAAGAAAGTTCATTGTCTCATCCTGGACAACTTTCAAGAAAGTTGACTGCGTAATGTGAATATGAGAGAGTCTTTAAAAAATAGTTTAGTGCATTTTAGAGCTGTCAAATGCCCTAATTTTTACTGTATTGGAATTGTTTAAATACATTATACAAAACGTAAAAATACAACATTAATTTCTAGTATTATTATCTTTTTCAAGTCATAAATGATGTGAATATTGTATCTGCTTCAAAATCTCATAAAGGTAGTGCTAAAGCAGTCAACAAATTGACCAAAAAGGAAATGATTACATAGAAGACTGTTTCACTGAATTCACTTCTTAGAATGACATAATTGAAGGTTGTGGCTGTTCCTCCCAAACAGGATATGGAGAGTGGCTGTGTGTTCCTTTAAGTAGAATTGGAGCATCCACAGTTTAACTATAACGCACTAAGTACCGCAGCAATTTCCTAATGTTGTAAACCTGCTCAACATTTGGCAATAAAACCCTTTCTGATTTCTGATTTCTAAATGGCAGAAAGAAACTTTTAACATCACATTCATTCAACTAGGAGTGGTTGATTCACCAGAATAGGGATATCTATATCAGTGCATTTAAATCCAAATCCATTTTTGCACAAATTTGCTTAGCCAAAACGGTTATTGTACACATTTATTTCCTAAAATTTAGGCCCAGTGGGGAATGCAGATTAACTTCTTTGATTTCTTTGTTCTTTGGTTTGTCATCTGTTTTACAACTGGATAGTTTATTATGTACTCAAGCTTCTCTAAATAGGTTATGACCGTACAGTCATTGGCTGTGACTCCCTGTGATATGTTTTACCGCTCCGCTTTGATAGATGGCAGCAGATCTCTGGCTAGAGCTGCAAATGGTACACTGAGGAAGAAGTGGGCGTGGGTTTGCTGGCACTACAGCGCCACTTTTGAGCGGTCGTTTATGTTGTCAACAATAACAGACCGCTGAAGTTGTCAAGCAACGTCGAGGAAAAGTCATACATCAGTCCCGCGACGGTATAGTCTTTAGTTGGGTATGAAAGTACATTATATTATTTTATTTTGATTAAATCCAGTTGTGTAATGCATGAAGGCACAATTAAAAACAGCAGCTCTAGACCCTGATGCTGACATTGACTGCTAGCATAGACAGTCTTTGGTTGCTAGGAGCCGAGCTGAGCTAACGCAATTGGTTTAACCTTAGCGCTCTGCACTTAATGAGAGAAAGCGGTTACACTGTGCATAGATAATTGGTGACGATTCAAAATCAGTGAAAGTCAACGATTAGCTTTATTGTAAGGTTAACATTGAAATGTTAACGAAAACTTGTGATCTGTGTATGATCTTCAGATGAAGGGCTGGTTATGGCTTGGCTTAATAGTGATAACTGGCCATCAGTTACATAACAAAGCTATCGAAATATCTTGATAGCTTATTTTTTCCGCGGGCCCAGAGGAGGCACTGGCTACCCCCCCCAAAATTTGCTGGCACCCCCAGTGGCTCCCCCTGACTGCCCTATGTTAGGAATAATGTAATAAGGGTGCAGAAAAGCTGGTGCCAGTCCCTGGACAGATCACTTTGCATCTCAGGGCCAACGTGGAAATCTAATGATCTAATATTTATTTGTATTTCATGAACAAGTTTGCTGTTAAAGTGAACTCCAGTCTGGGAGAGTGAATCTTAAGCTGCTTCTAGTCAGCTCTGCTGAGAATCAGTGAAGCCATCCTGGGACTTCCACTCAATTAATTGATCAGTCGATCAGTTAAAACTGATTAAAAAAGATTTCAAAATCTCATTTGGTTTTCATATTTACCTATTTTCAGTGATATAAACTTTATTAGCAGGAAGTTAAGTAGGAATATCATTCTTTTAGATGAATTATTTTGTCATATTTTCAAGTAACCTAGAGCATAATAAAACTGTAAATTCTGTTTTTGGTGTGCCACCTCAATATTTTTAGTGGCTCGCATATGGCCACCCCACGTACTTGTTGCTGTGTCTGTAAATGTTATGATATAACAATACGTTAATAAAGTTGAACAAGTTTTGTAAATTAATTCAGTTCAATTTCAATTCAGTGTCATTTTTATAGCAACAAATCACAGCAACAGTCGCCTCAAGGTGCTTTATGTTGTAAGGTAGAGACGCTGCAATAATATAAAGAAAAATGAAAGAATCAGAGAACCCCTTTGAACAAGCACTTGTTTAAGAATTAGAACTTTTTCAGCAGATGTCTAATTATATATATATTTAAATACCTGCAGTCAACAATCGAGGGCAAAGGACAGTGCACGAGAGAGGTGAAGAAGCGAGTGCAGGTAGGGTGGAGTGGTTGGAGATGAGTGTCAGGTGTCGATTTGTGACAGAAGGATAACACCAGTGAAAGCAAAGGTTTCTAAGGTGGTGGCCAGGATAGACAAGATCAGAAAAGTATATCAGAAAGACAGCTCAGGTTAAGTGTTTTGGAGGTGAAATTAAAGAGCGGTTTGGACAATATTGGATAAAAGATGTTGAATATGAAGCTGCCAGGCAGGAGGGAAAGAGGAAGACTTCAGAGGAGGTTCTTGGTGTAGTAAAGGAGGACATGCAGAGGGTTGGTGTGACAGAACGGGATGCTAGAGATGGGGTGAGATGGAGGCACGTGATCCTCTGTGTTGACCCTTGAAAGGACCAGCTTCAGGAAGAAGACAAAGATGTAATCATATACACAGAAATAGGAGAATTTTCTACTTAAATTGAAGCAATCGTATGAAAAATACGATATGGTGTAAAAGTAAAGTTGCCGTGATGTGTGCTGTTTTTCCATTACTGTGATCTTGAAGTATTCCTACCAATTTAAATAGTTCTCTTTGTCTTACTTTGAATATTTTTATTCCTAGATCAAAGATGGCCCCGGACAGCGCTCAGATTCGGCGGCAGGGTGCTCAGGACTTTATGGCTTACTATGAGTTTGCCTGTGCCAGGCAGGAATCTGTCCCCCTTCCTGCAGTTAAAATGAACCTCAACAAAGGGATGCTGGACTTTAATGGAGACAAGCTGAAGCTAACAGACTGGCCACCAGTTCTCAGCTCTATATCCATTAACAAACACCTGCACCACATAGCAATAAGTAGCACATACCAAGCTAGTTTGGCTTCTGGAGAGGCAGGTACGTTATTGAAACAGTTTATACGATTTTAATTGTCTGTTAGAAACTTGTTGATTTTCAGATTTTACTTAAAACAACAATGTCACCATTGGTTTCAGATAGAAGATATCTTAAGTCTAGCTTCAGGAGGAAGATTCCAGCTATTCGCTCCAAGGATATGACATTAAAGCTGTGCAAGGCCCTCAGAGAGTGCCTCACTGTCTCTCCCAACCTCAAGACGCTGCAGCTCAATGGACTTCCACTGAGAGAAAGGGACCTCATCACCCTGACAAAGGTGAAAGCAGAGCATTTTAAAAGCAAAGCATTGTAACTGTTTAATTTTTAAAAATGTTATTCAGAACTTTTTCTGTGGTTTTTGCTTTTTTGTTCACTCTTAGAATGGACATTTATTAAAACAAGTTCTTTGTTGAAATGATCCTAATCTAGGGTTTTGCAAAAAGCACTTCTTTGGAAAACCTATCTCTGGTTAACTGTCCAATCAGTGATGAGGGCTTAGAGGGTATGTGCAATTATATTACTGTCTCCTAATTTTGTTCAGGAAACGAGTTTGTATTGTACCTGTGTAACTGTGTGTTCTCTATGTTTCTATATGTTTTAGTCATTTGCCAAAGCGTTAAGTATTCTGCTAACATCAGGGCAGTGGATTTTAGTGGATGCAGTCTTACCTGGAGGGGGGCAGAGCACATGGCCAATATTATCAAGGTATAGTATTTGATTTTCAGTGTCATCTGGCAGTCTATTTTATTTTTTATTGAGAGATGATTATTTAATAATTGTAAACTATCCAGATAATAATTGTTAAAAAAGTTTGTTAGGGAAAAAATTGAGGTGCACAGTGCAGATTACAGCAGCATGTTTTTTGGCAGAGGGATTGTAAAGCTGTATACACACCGGAAGCGATTTTATTTGTTCACTTTCTATGGTCTCTAGTCAAAACGTGGCCTTGAATCGCTTCCAGTGTATATGCAGCTTAAGCCTAGAAGATTTAGAGAGAGAAGTTATCAGTTAGTCAGAACATTATGTAATAAAAGATAAAAGACAGAATAAGACAATGTGGGCCTTTTCGTTCAGTAATAGAAGTGGAAGAGTCTTAAAATTTTTCATCACAACTTTTGTAAGAATCCTTTTATTTATCTTAAAGCATCAGGGTATGCAAAGACATGGTACGGCGTGGGCGGAGTCTCTGAGGTATCGACAGCCGCAGTTTGAGGGTATGGGAGGTCTTCGCCGTGTCACACTTAACTGTAACACTTTAATTGGGGACCGGGGTGCTGCGGCTCTTGCGAGTGAACTTGCTGAAGACCTCTGGGTTAAAGGTTAGTAGATTTGTGAGTTTGTGGTGTTTGTTTTTTTCCTTATTGTACAAATTTTTGATAGGATTTCTGTTTCTGATTTTTGGCTTGTAAAACAGCTGTGGACCTGCAAAGATGTGGTCTTTCCAACGAAGGCGCTCGTCGTTTGCTAGAAGCCTTGAAAACGAATTCTTCTTTGTGTGTGCTGGATATCCGTGGTAACCCGTTAGTTGGTAAGTTGCTACCTAAGTCAAGGCAATAGCATTTTCTTGTTTTTTTCCAGACTTAATAGCACTTTTCCCACACTGATCAAATATTGTTCATTCCACTGCTTGAGCTGGTTTGTTTTTACGTTTCCATTTGACATATTAATGCAAACCAAATTTTGTGTGTGCGTGGCACTTTCCAATTGTAGAAAAATCATTTGAGTAATACTGTAATTACATCAGTCATGTAGTAGTTCATCTCTAAACCAACGAAACATAAATTTCTAGAAATGTTTCTGGTACTTAATCTTCACTGATTTTGAGTTTTCCTTTCAGATAAACTCCTAATTAAAACTATAATAGAGAAAGTACTAATGAATGGTCATGGACAGTCACCAGAGGTAAGTTTTTGGGAGAAATATTCCGGGGGGGCGGAACCATTGCTCTAGGTGGTGTATTTGTATGCATGTGTCTTCCTTATGTTGTCCTGCAGTATTGCTGGATCAAGCCTGCAGCGTCAGAACCACAGAGAGCTTCTGGTCCAAGGAGGAGAGCATTACCCAGTACAGTCAGAGGGAAAGCTGCATTTAGAATAGGTATTTATGTATACATACATTTTTCTTGTTCCATGTTCCAGATAAACACAGACAGACTGCATGTAACTCCATGTTATTGTCTCCCTAGTCAGACAAAACACAGTAATTTCAGTATTTCTGGTTGTACACCTAAAATCAGCCTATTAAAAACAGATATTTATTCATTTATTTTTATGAGCATGGGCACATTTCTCTGTTTTATGTTGGGGTTTTTTGTGCATGTATGTGTGCAGTGTAAATTCACTGGAGGATTTCTTTCAGTCTGTTTGAGATAGTATTGCTTATTCTCGGTGTCTTTTCAACTTCTCAAATTAAATTTTTAAGTCATCTGGAGACATGGTAAGAACTGAATTCATTGTGATTTTATTTTGTTTCTCCTGCTGATAGGTGCAAAAATAATCTTGAATTTGTGATGTGTTTGATTATGGTTTAGTTGACTTTGCCCTTATTTATAGGATGATTTCAGTAGATACTCACCTAGATTGATTAGTCTTTCATCTATTTGCGTGTGATGTTTATACCCTGCTTGTTAGAAGCAAGTAATATCTGCTAGTTTCACAAAGCATGTAGTTCTTATCATTTTTGCATTGTTTAATTCATGGAAAGCCCACACACATGTTCTGCTGGCCATTATAATCACTTCCACTATTTTGCGCATATCTTGTGTTATTATTGGGAGGGACCTAACAATTTTCTGTGAGCAAAGATTTATCAGTTTATCATTTATCACTGTTCAGTTTAATTAAATATTATTAATGCACATTAATGCCTAGTGATGCAGTGATTAGCACTGTTGCCTCACAGCAAGGCCCTGAGTTCAAGTCCTCTCTCAGGCCAGGGTCTTTCTGTGTGGTGTTTGCATGTTCTCCCCATGTTTGTGTGGGTTCCTACGGCTTCCTCCTGCAGTCCAAAGACATGCAGTTAGCGAGGTTAGGTTAATTGATGATGGTTAATTGCCCATATGTGTGGATGCGAGTGTGAATGGTTGTCTGTCTCTGTGTGTTAGCCCTGTGGCAGACTGGCGGCCTGTCCAGGGTGTACCTTGCCTCTCGCCCTGAGACTCCTAGGATAGACTCCAGACCCCCCACGTCCCTGAATTGGATGGCAAAAGACGATGGATGGATTGATTATTATTCATTTATATAGTGCCGAATCACAACAGACACCTGAAGGCACTTTTAATAAATGGTGATAAAGTACAGTTCATAATACTATGAGGACTTTGCATCATCAACGCTGCGCCCTTCTTAGAGGTGAAGATTTCTCAGAATTCATGGACATGTCTTCTCTTTGCAGCCACTCATAAAGGACCATCTCCTGGTGGACGGAGTTCAGCTGCTGCTCTGAAACCTAAGCCATCACGCACCCCCCATGTGCCTTGGCGTGCTGCTGCACGAGCTGGACGCCAAAGGTGAAGAAGATATGTTCAGAAGAAACAACAAGCAAACAACAAAAACTATGTTCCATTAATAAGTTTGGAAGATAGTTTGGATTGTGTGTGTGTTTTGGGGGTCTGGAAGTTTATTTTTTCTGCATATGGAAACCTGTAGGGAATGTAATTATATGTTTAAAAAGCATTCACTGTTTATTATAGTCATGTAGAGACTAATACTATGTTTTTGCTTCTGCAGAGGTTTGCCTCCTGGAATTACTGTAACAGACCATAGCTTTCAGGTAAGCTGTCTTGTGTCTGTGTGTAATGCAGCGTAATGAATAAAGAGCCCTAAACAGCAGCATTAATGTTAATATCTTATTAGGGTGCAGCCACAGTGAAAGTTACCATGGAGTCTGATTCAGAGGCAGAGGAGGATGATGAAGAGGAAGTGGTGGAAGTGGAACCGAGACCATCTTCTCTTAATCGTCAGGACAGATTCATTTCGCGGAGGTTTGAACAAATACAGGTTAGTCATTTTTGTAATGTGTTTTTGCTGCTTCTAAAGTCAAAGATGTGGTATGTGAAGAGTTCATTAAACAAAACCACCTCACACACTGCTCTTCTGATCCATGCCCTGTAGATGGAGCTAAACGAGTGCCGTATGAGGCTCGGAGAAGAGCGGAGGGCCAGACTGAAGGCTGAGTCCAGGCTCATGGAGGTAAATAAAATCTGTAATAAATACAGATAAATTTATGCCTGTTATTTATTTTTAATGTTTTCCTTTTATTGCAAGTTTTAATCGTAGAAAATCCATAGAAAATCAACCCTCTCAGAGTCAGCTGATTTCTTAAAATCTTTGAAAATTAATTTGACCAACATGTTCCAAATCACAGACCCTTGAAATACACAAAAATGGGTCAGCATTTTTACATTTTTTTTTTATCTGTTATTTTTTACCAGCAATTTTGAGCCCTCATAAGTGCAAGAGAGATGCATTCTAGTGGCTGCAAATCTAAAGTTGTTTTAAATTTACTCCAGGGAATTAACAGAAAACAGCATGTTGGTTTAATTGGTGTACTTTTGCTATTGAAACTGTGTTATTTCCCATGTTATTTGATTCTCAAAGTTGTTTATAGAAAATAGTGTGATTCTTTGTGAGTCAGGTGGGAGGTACTTATTGATTTTTCATGAAGTAATGCAACAGCTCGTCCTTTATTGAAGAGTCAGTTTTATTGAACAGTCGTGGTTTTTTGGGTTTTTTTTAATGAATAAATAAGACTGTGCCTTTATTCTTTATGTAATTTCTGTTCAGTATGAGCTGGAGAATGCTCGCCTTCGAGATGCCAATCACTCCCTGTCAGAGGCACTTGCTGCCAGTGGCTCTGCATTAGCACCACCGGCTTCCAGTGCTCTTGAAGATGAGGCAATTCTGGAGAGCATTGAGACATCATTCACTAAGTTTCACGCTTTCCTGGATTTGCTCAAAGATGCTGGGTGGGTATTTTTAATGGCAGCCATTACAAAATGCCACTGTTGTCACAGGACCTACGTGGTTTACTGAAAATCCATTCTTTAAAAATCTTTCAGTTTCATTATGTGTGGGTGTGCTTTTTTCCACTTCTTGAGCCAGAAGTTGGCCTTTAGTTTTGTTTTGAATGGATCCCCATTTTAAGTGGCTTATATTTAACTGTCTTTCTTCCCCTTGTTACATTTAATGTGTGTTTTAGGACGATACCTACAGTTATTTATTATATTTTATTTTTTATAAAGTTATCTTTGTGCATCGTACAAAACATTGCAGAAAAGTGTTTGCTTGATTTTTGTAGAGTATTACAGTCTGGCACCCTGTGAGTAAACTTTTGTGTAGCTTTAATATTTCAGCTGCACGATGAAGCAGCTTATTATTGTAGCTCTTATCATTTATAGTGTAACAATGTGGTCTGCAAGAGTAAGTTCATTCAAGTGGTATAGAAAGAGCATATACTCAGATTACACACTTCTGTTAGTGATGTATCATTAAATTGTTATGTTTGGAAAAACCACAGGTTGTGTAGTTAATGGCTCGTATTTGACTTGGGATAAGATGTCAAACAGGTGTATTTTCTAAAATATTAGACTAGTGATATTTAAAAAAGGTGTGCATCTTAGATTTCAGTTTCTTTTGGAAATATCTGAAGTTAATTTTAATATTGGCCAATTTGATATTGATTCTGCAGTTTAATTCTGACAGGAATGGGTTTCATTCAAAACGAAACTCTAGGTTTGTCATTGTCATTTCTTGGATTAATATGTGGAAACCAAAGCCCATGGGTTAGGTATAATTTCGCAGTCATCTTTGAGTCAGTTACTCACTCAGTCAGGGTATCATTCTGGAATCTTTTTAAATCTAAAATGCACCCACTAGCCACTTAGTTAGGTGCATCACAAGGTTGAACCCATTTTTGCTTTCAGAACTACCTTAATTATTAATAGAATAGATTAAGCAAACATATGCTCTGCTGGATTAAGATCTGGTGACTGTGGAGGCTCTTTGAGTACAGTGAACTCATTGTCATGTTCAAAGACTAATATGACGTTATCATGCTGAAAGCAGCCATCAGAAGGTGAGTACACTGGGATCATAAAGGGATCAGTGAGAGTAGTCAGATTAGCTGTGGTGCAGTTATAAAGGGCTTCAAAGAAAATATCCCCTCACACCGTTACACCACCAGTGTACCCAATATCTTATTGTCTTAGTCACATCTTACCATAATCATTTTTTTATTTGCATTTGTTGTAGGAAAAAGGTAGGCTGGTATTAGCTGGTTATCTACTCTGGAAGTTCATTTTTAATTGATTGCATGTCTTTTTTTTAATTTCTTGTAGCTTAGGTCAGCTAGCTTCAATGGCTGGAATTGACAAGTCAGATTTCCACCCTCTGGGAAGACCTCAGCTTTCCTCCACAATAGAACCACTTTTGCATGGTGCGGCATCACCGCCTGGAGGGCGTTACAGGATCGATGCTCTGTCTTTGGTAAGAATATGCAAAGCAAACTTTGGAAGCATGTTCTGTTGGCAGGTGGGGTGAATATTGTAAAGTTTGCATAAGCCAATTTGTGCACAAATCTGTACGCAAATTGTGGATAAATAAATCATTGCTTCACAGCACTGTAGACTTGCCCTATGTGATAATGGTGGACATTAGATTTGTAAGCACATCAAGCAGAAATGTAGATTAACTTTGACTACAGATTGTTAGGTTCAAGAATTATAGTTTAATGCATTCACATTCTCTTTTGCAGCTCAGGATGAGAGGAGTATCTGTTAATGAGACATTATTAATGTTACTTCAGTTTTAGTTTTGATTAGAATAGTTAGAATAGAATCGTTTTTCACATTGTCTCATCAAATGTAATTTCTGGTTTTTAGGTAGGAGGTGCCCCATCTGCCTACCCCGTTGGATTGTCTGACACCAGATTGCACAAGTCTCCATCCCCTACTAGAGCAGCCCTTCATAAAGAAAGGTCACTTGATGTAACTTTCACTCAGGCTTCTGCACCAGCAGCAAGTGGTGTAGTGGATGTAGAAGAGGAAGCAAATCATTTTTCAAAGCCTGACACCCAGCACGACTCGGGCTCTGAACACAGTTTTTATAGCCAAAAGTCCTTTGATAATATTTCCTTTGGTAAAACTTCCCAGACTCGGCCAAGCCACCCCACGAGCAACAGCAACTCTCACAGAAACAACAGTTCCCATGGATACAGCTTCAGCAACAGCTACACTTACAACCGTGCTTCTCATAGCAATGGATCTCGAGGTGGTTCGTCTGCAAGTGTTAGTGACATTTTAAGTGACAAAGAGTCTGTAGGATCAGTAGGGTCAAGGAACAGGGGAAATGGAAGGCTGGTGACAGTAGGTCAGTCAGGATCAGAAGGGTCAGAGAGGAAAGCCCCTTCTACGAGAGGCGCTCTAGAGCAGGTCAGATCTCTGGAGAGTCTGGGGGTTCAGTCAGATAATGAATCGTAACTAGGCGACCATAAACTTTCTCCCTGTGTGTCAGTGCCTTTTCTTCTATGTTTAGATATTCGCTGAGTTTAAATTGTAGATTTTTTTTTGTCACCTTTATAAATGTTTTGTTCTTTTTTTCTTTTTTTGCATTTTCAGTCCAAATCATTTCAGTTTAGGGAAACAAAATGTTTTTTGCATGTAAAACCAAAATAAATAAGTGATTTAAAAAATTAGCCTTATATTATTGTTTTTACATTTTAGATTTACATTTACATTCTTATTGAAGTTTTTCATAAAGTGCAGGGAATCTGCAGTAGAACAGTTTCATTCAGTGCGACATTCTCAAATCTGTAACTCTGTTTCTTCGAGTATAATCCTGATTCTTGTAGCAATCAATCAAATACTAGAAAGTTTACAATTTCAAGACATTGCATGGGAGCTTAAAGCAAAGTGTCATTCCTTGTTTCACATGTGCTCTTACTTATTTGTAGCTTTGGACATTAAAGTTATTTTTTTAAATGACAGATTTTTTATATTTAGAGGGGTTTTTTTTAAGGCTCTATGATATATAATGGCACAATTTAATGTTCCTGTTATTTTACTTTAAATTTAGTTTATAATAAACTATTTTGCAATTTTACACCTAATAAAGTGTTCTTATCTTTATTCTAAACTTGACATTTAACATTGTCAACATGTGCTCATACATAAAATGTTTGTTCATCATGTGCAATGCAGAAAACTAATATTAATATTTAATGACTTAGAGTTAGTGTGATCTTCTATCTGATATGAACCACAAGAACAGCTGCCTACTGAGTAATGCAACCTTAACATAACTTTTATTCTCATTGTCAGGAACCATCTTTTTGATAGGTTATTTTTCAAAATCCAACTTAAAGTGTCACAAGGGTAAGAAAATTAAACAAATCCCTGCTGGGAAAACAACTAAAGTACTTTTGAAATATTTTTTGTGTGAATATTTAAACTCCAGTTTTTGTTTTTGTTTTTTTTGGAGTCCTGACTCACTGTGAGCAAAGCGCGACTTTTGTGGGTCTGTATTTTTTAGCTTGTGTATTCGTTTGCCCCTGATGTCACCCTGGCCTCTGTACTATGTTCCTTCTGTTCCCTGTCAGAGTTATCTGTATTCTGTCTGTGGATTTCCTGTTTTATTTTGAAGGTTCAGATCTTATATCAGTGTTTCTAGTTTCGCATCCTCTGTCTCGTTAAGTCTAATTTCTCCGGGATGTTCCCACCTGTTCCTCGCTCCCTCGTGTTCCTGCCTGTGTACTTGTCCTGCAGTGTTCAGCGTCCCGTCGTACTCTCAGATTGTGCCTGTGTGTTTCCGTTCTCAGCGTTCATTGTTCAGTTCATGTTTTGTTCATCGCCAGCAATAAAGCTGTAGTTCAGTTGCAATTCAGTCTTCTCGAGTCCTGCATTTGGATCCTCACCTCCGCACGCCCGCACACAGAGTTCTGACACATTATCCTAACACGTAAGCACCAAACGTCAACCGAAAACAGAACCGATCTCTGGAGAGGTGACAGATTGTGCGTAAAGCTTCCAATTTCAGTTTCAATTTTTATATGTTTTCAGATATTTTGACACAGAATTAATTGGAATACAGAAATATATGTAAAATAGGTTGATTAATTACATTAATTTTGTAACTTTTTATGGGGTTTTTTGGGGGGGGGGAGGGGTAGCTATATCTGCTAGTAGTTGTGATCAGTAAGTGTACATGTTGACTTTGTTTTTCTGTTTATGACGTCTGAGACATGAAATTGAGTGATATCTCTCTTTTTGCAACTTTCCAGCAAATCCCAGACCTTGCTCATATTTCTGAAATCCCTGTTATTCTTGTTGCTCCAGATATCTTTTTGTGACTGTATGTTTCGGCTGATTGGCTACAAATTCAGCCTACCTTGTGTCATGCTACTAGTATAACTGTTCACGGGGATGCACCATTTCTGCAAAACACTGCAGCTCCTCTGATCTCTTTATAAATATCTAATAAATATCTTGAAGAAGATACACGGATATCTTGTGTATCTTCTATACTTTTTGAGATATTGAATTTTTTATGCAATATTTTTTGCCCATTTCTTCCACATTATCAGTGTGGTCACTGATTTTCCTTGCCGGGCTGAGCTGTGTTTTAGCTCAGTGAGATGAGCAGCCATTCTCAGACTGGGAGGCCTGGGTTCAAATCCCGCTTATGGCAACATTTCTTTCAGTTAACAGTTAAACTTTTCAACACAGATTTCAACTTTTTCACCCCTTTTCAGCAAAATTTTTAGTTTTTTCTGCTGTTTTCAGAAAAAAACTCTTTTCAACAGAAATTCTGCTCATTCACCTCTTTTCAGCCCAAATTCTGCTTATAATAATAATGGATTGGATTTATATAGCGCTTTTCAAGGCACCCAATGCGCTTTACAATACCACTATTCATTCACTCTCACATTCACACACTGGTGGAGGCAGCTACAGTTGTAGCCACAGCTGCCCTGGGGCAGACTGACAGAAGCGAGGCTGCCATATCGCGCCATCAGGCCCTCTGGCCAACACCAGTAGGCA